CAGGCACATGAAAAGATGCTCCACATCGCTAATCATCAGAGAAGTGCAAATTAAAACCACAATGAGATATCACCTTGCACCAGTTAGGATGGCCAACATCCAAAAGACAACAAATGTTGGCCAGGATGTGGAGAAAGGGGAACCCTCCTACACTGCTGGTGGGAATGTAAAATAGTTCAACCATTGTGGAAAGCAGTATGGAGGTTCCTCAAAAAACTAAAAGTAGACATACCATTTGACCCAGGAATTCCACTCCTAGGAATTTACCCTAAGAATGCAGGAGCCCAGTTTGAAAAAGACATATGCACCCCTTTGTTTATCACAGCACTATTTACAATAGCCAAGAAATGGAAGCAACCTAAGTATCCATCAGTAGATGAATGGATAAAGAAGAGGTGGTACATATACACAATGGAATATTATTCAGCCATAAGAAGAAAACAAATCCTACCTTTGCAATGACATAGATGGAGCTAGAGGGTATTATGCTCAGTGAAATAAGCCAGGTGGAGAAAGACAAGTATCAAATGATTTCACTCATCTGGGAGTATAAGAACAAAGAAAAAACTGAAGAAACAAAACAGCAGCAGACTCACAAAACTCAGGAATGGACTAACAGTTAGCAAAGGGAAAAGGACTGGGGAGGATGTGTGGGAAGGGAGGGATAAGGGGGCAAAGGGGCATTATGATTAGCACACATAATGTAGCACTGGGTTGTGGCAGGGACACAGGAAAGGCAGTGTATGCAGAGAAGACACGTAGTGATTCTGTAGCGTCTTGCTGTGCTCTTGGACAGTGACTGTAGTGGGGTATGTGTGGGGGACTTGATATTAGGGGGAGTCTAGTGACCATAATGTTGTTCAAGTAATTGTACATTAACAATACCGAAATAAAATTAAAAATTAAAAATTAAAATAATAAATAAATAAACTCACAAGCACGTCAGCTATTGAAATTGACTACAAAGTATAAAAAAACTATGCTTCTTATATTAAAAAAATGTAAAAGTTTGAAAATGGCTGCAAGATATAAAATATATAAAAGATGACAGCAAATTTGAAAAAAGAACTAAAACTTGAAGAAAAAAAAACTTCCAAAATGTTTTCTTTGCACATCCAAAAATATATCCATATATATGTATATGCATATATATGCACACACATTATTATTAAAAAATGGACTCACACCAAACACATCTTTACATTTTTGTGGGAGTATATCGGTATCATAAATTTCTAAACATGGAATGGCTGAACCAAAGAATATGCATATTTAAAACGTTCACGAATAACAGCCAGTTGCCCTTTTAAAATGAATCAATTTACATTCTCATCGATAATGTTAATTGCGACCATTTCCCCCAAACTCTGACCTACACTGTTTTATCAATGTTTAACATTTTTGTGAAACTAATAAACTTGTTTTTATCTGCTTTGCTATAACCAAAAGCAGATATTTTTCATGTTTATAGCTTTTACATCTTCTTTTCTGTTAATTACCTATCTATATTATTACAGCTTTTTAGATATTTGTTTATATTTTCTCTTTACATCTGTAAAGATCTCTTTACAAATTATATATAGAATTATATATATAATGTATAATATTATGTATATTTGTCTTCATAAAGATCTTGCATCATTTATGTTAAATTAATTCCTGGGTAGAGGGACCTCCTCATCTGAATATTATTCTTTATCAGTATTCATTGTCCTCACAAAAGCAAACATTTTAACATCAAAACATTCACTAATGACTTGACTTCTTAATACTCTTCACACTGCCATTGAGTTAATTGGGTCAGACTCTTGAAATACAATGAAAATGAATTACAAAGTAAAAAGGAAAATCTTTAAAGATATTTGGAATGTCATGATGTTGATGCACATGCTGTTGGACAGCTGTTAAAAATCACACAGCCATTGACAAGAGAGGATCTAGCTGAATTAGCCTAGCTGAAGAAGAGAAAATCAGTGAAAATGAGGAGTAGTCAAAAGAGAATACTCGGAATACCGACTGGTCTCAGAAACTGGAGTCGTACAGGCGGCAGATGAGGCCCTGGGGAAGGAGCGGGCAGGCGCTGCAGGAGCAGACAGAGGGGAAGCCGCAGGGCCTGCCGGCGACCTGGAGGCCGGAAGCAGCGGGGAGGAAAGAGAAGGCAGAGGGCCCGCGGCGTCCAGCCCAGCGACTGCGCGGCAGACGGCGACGTCTGTCAGGCCCGGCCAGGCACATCTCGGGAGAAGGGAGGGGGTCAGGAGTTTGGTGGTTCCTAAATTTTGTCAGAATTCATTAAGTTCTTTAGCATTTTATATGGTGTTTGCTGATAGTTTCTTTTATTTTTTCCCCATCACAAATGAAATGTAAACTTAAACCAAATTGCAGACATTATTGAAATATGTAACAAAAAAGTGAAGGGCCCCTTTTGCACAGATAACTAGTCAATAACTGCTGCATATTCCTCTGTTTTCAGTTCACTGGCTGAATGTCATTAGCATTAGTGTTTGTTTTAAAATTTTTGTTATGAATTTTTAAATTCTGTCATATATGGTGCACAATCTCTGCTACTGATTTCACTTAGTAGTATATCACAGACATTCTCTTCATGTCAGTACATAGTCTTTTTATGGTTAGAGTAGTTTATTGCATTAATCCTCTATGGTTTATTACTTATTTACATAAATAGTTCTCTATCTTATGTATTCTTATAGCACTTGCTTTTTTTCACCTATCCCATGATTTGGAGATCTGCCCTTATTCATAAATAGCTGCCTCATTCTTTCTCATTGCTAGAGCAGTGCTGTCCAGTAGAACTTTCTGTGGTGATGGAGATGTTCCATATCTGTGCTGTCCAAGCAGTAGCTATTGGCCCTTATGTGGCTTTAGATCTCTTGAATATGGCTAGTGTGACTGAGGAACTGAATTTTTAAATTTTATTTAATTTTCACTAGTTTTAATTTAAATAGCCACTGTGTTGAACAGCACAACTCCATTATTTTCTGTCATGTTCCATGATATGAATATGTTGCCATTTACATTTTCTTTCCCCTGTTGATGGACCTTTAGGTTGTTTTAGTTTTTTGCTCTTGCAAATAAAGTTTCAAGGAGCATGCATGAAGAAGCTGCCCTAGTAAGTCATATACTGTGTTAGGGGACAGGTTTGCTAGCAGTTGTCTATTGATTGTTCAAAACTGTCATCATTCTGCTCCCTCTTGACCACTTCCTCCAACACTGTAAATTTCCAGGCTTCTGCTCTGAGTTGCCTTTGTGTCTGTGCCCCTTTGCTTGGGCTAAATTTCAGGGAGTCTGGGCCTTCTAGCTGAGCCTTTAGTATCACAAAAGTCTGGTGCCATACCTAGCCACAGGAAGGGCCTTAGCCTCAGCCCAGTAAGATTAAACAAATCCTTCACATGAAATGACCAAATAGCGAGATCTTTAAAGCCCACAAATTCATGACAGGCATATAGAAAATAATAATAAATAATAACAACAAATAATAGTAAACAGAAAGCAATCACTAAGTTCAAGAAAAGCAAACAATTAAGAAAGAAAATGTAACCATTAGTCTGCCACATGTCTAAATAACTGTTCTCATGTACCCTGTGGTAGACAGGGTTTTGTCCCTGGGCCCTTTGCTCCTTGCTCTTGTGCCTGTGAACACTTTATATTATTTAGCAAAAGGGACCTTGTAGATGGAATTATCATTATGGACCCTAAAATAGGAAGATTATCCTGGATTACCAGGTGGACTCAATTTAATCCTGAGCCAGTTCCTTAGAAGCTGAGAAATTTCTCCAGCTGGGGTCAGTCAAAGAGATGCTGCAAAAGTCAGATTCAAAGTATGATAAGGGTATCTTCAAAGGTTGGCTTTGAAGACAGAGGAACCAAGTGGCCTTTAAAAAACGAAAGGGATCCTGCCAACATCCAGCAGGGAGCAGGGACCTCAGTAACCTGAATGAGCCTGGAAGTGGATTCTCCCCCAAGAACTTCCAGGTAAGAGTTCAGGCCAGCCAACAACTTGATTTTGGTTTGTGGAACCTGGAACAGAGAAACTAAGAGAGCCTGCTGAACTTCTGATGTATACAACTGTGAGATACAGGTTTGTGTTGTTTTAAGTTCATGGTAATTTGTCACAGCAGCAACAGAAAACTAATACTCCCACCTTATACGAATTCAGCCAAGGAAAGGTAACAACTACACTGGAGGTAGAGAGCTGATTCTGTTTGGTAAGGGGAGAGTACTAAAATAAAACTAAATTCTCATGTTGCATGACAGGAAGTCAAAAGATTATATTTAAACCTTAAAAATAGCAGCATGGGCATCTGCAGAAATATGGCAGTAAATATTCAGAGAAACAGCTAAAAGTGTTGTGAGTGGTTGCTTCTGGAGAGCAAGAATTGGGAGTGAGGAGGAGTGTGGAGAGGCTGTCGAGTTTTTATTTCAAGTCCTTGGAGAGAACTCGATTTTTAAATGCATGTTTCTAAGTTATTGTAATAAAAATAACGCGTCCCACCACCACTAACGTAAGATGGGCCCACCTCTCCTGAGAGCCTGAGCAGGTAGGGTGGGGGCTGCCTTGGGCTGCCCCTGGGTTTGGCAGCCCCTACTAATTACAGGGTGGAGGAGAGCAATGGCAAGCTTCTGGCGTCAGAGAGGAAGCTGCAGGAGGAGCGGCAACACACTGTGGCGCTGGAGCAACACCTGGAGAAGATGCACTTGGAGCCTGAGAGGACTTCAGCCCCTCGGAGAGCAGCGGCCAGGAGCAAAACAGGTCGGGCTGGACCCTGGGCCCCAGTGGCAGGGGGGCAGCCTTGTGCTGCCGGAGGAGCCAGTCAGAGTGCCGCTCAGCCCAGTCGAGGAGCGTGCGGGGAGCAGAGGGCTCCATCAGGGTGGGGTCTGCCTGCCCCTGCTGCTGTGCGTCCTGGTCCCTCGGCCTCTTGGTCAGAACCGGGGGCCCCAGAGCACCATCAGCCCCTGTGGCCCCAACCCGGCCCTCCCACGAGCCCTTAGCATAAGGCGGAGTGCCTTCAGCAGCCACCCATGGCCACACCACCCGCTCCTTAACCCTCTGTCTTGAGCTGACTTTATTCACACCTGGTCAAGGGGCAAAGTTGGTCTGCTGGGGAGGCCAGAGAAGCAGGGGCTGACCAGGAGAATGGTCCCTTTCTGCTTCCTGTAGTGTCAGCAGGGGTGAGGTGGCCTCTCCACAAGGCTGGGGGACCTGGGCTTCACAACCTTCCATCTCATGATCTAAGATAAGATAGCTACTTCAGCTTCCGTACCAGCAGTAGGAAGGGGAAAAGGGAAGGAGACAACCTGCTCCTTTCTTTTTAAGGGCATGACCCTACGTTTGTTTGCATCACTTCTGCTTTCATCCCCTTGGTTAGATCCTAGCCACATGACCACACCCAGCTGCAGAGCAGGGCCAGTTGTCCTAAACTACAAACCCTCTTGCTCTGTCACGGAGGTTGTCAAGGTGTGGTCCCTAGACTGTCAGCATCAGCATCATCTGCAGGATGCCAGGGCCAGAAGCCATTTCTGGGGTGGCTGCCTCTCAAGGAGGAAGAATCCTCAGTGTGGATGGGCCAGGGCTTTGCCCTTCTGATCCTGCCATCCTAGCCTCCTCCAGGATCTGGAGTGAGGGTGGTACCCCCGCAGCACTGCCTCCCAGCACCCGGCATCCCCCACTTCCATCCCCAGCATGGACACTCAGACCTTTGTTCCCAGCCCAGATGAGATCGGACCATCTCGGAAGGATGTGCCGGGAGTGGGACCGAAGGCAGGTCATGCCCTTCTCTCTTCCTCCCACAGCATGGCCCAGGACTTTAGGGGTATTTTCAGGAGCTTCTGAGAGTGCAGGCTGGGGAAGGCCCCTGGGGCTGAGTCCTGCTGACCCTCCGGGGCCCTCAGGAACTCACCGTCTGCCAGGCAGCCAGGCTCCCCACCAGGCGTTTGTTCTGCCTGGGCGGTGAGGGGCGACTGCCTGAAAAACAGTGCCCACATGGCCTCCGCCCCCTGCCGGCCCGTGACATGGCAGGGCGCCACCCCGCTGGAAGGCCATGGCACACCCCACATCTGTGAAATGAGGAGACCTCATTCTGAATTTGATCACCCATGGCAGTGGGGAAGATAGGAACCAAATAAAGCCGCCAAAGACATGCTAGGTCAGATGGCGGCAGATGCTAAAGGCAGCTATCTGCTGGGGGCCAGCAGGACCTCACTGCCAAGCTGACACCTGAGCAGGGAAGGTGGAAAGGGGTGAGGCATACAGACCTGAGGGAAGAGCAAGCTCAAAGGACTGCAGCAGGAGCTTGGCTGGAGGCTGCGAGGCACGGCAAGGAGGCAATGCCGCTGCAGCAGGGGGCGGGTGCTGGGTGATTCCCCTGGGCGGCCCTGCGCCCGAGAGCCACGTCACTTCTGAGGGCCTTTCCAGTGGAGGTTCTTTGATGCTGTGATGGTGCCCAACTTCCCCACCAGCCAGGCTCTGATTTCTTTTTCTGAGCATTCTGATGCCCCTGGCCCCAGCCGCCCTGGCTCCCCTGTGTGTTTGTGTGGAGCTGCTGGCCAAGATGGGAGCTGAGGCGGGGGGACCCAGTGGTATGAGGGCATCAGATGTAGTGACAACCTAGACTCAGGCTCAGCCTTCAGGCCTGGATGCCTTTTAGAAACGTGTAAGGTGCAAACATGGAGGGGAACCACCTTGGTGCAAAGCAGGCAGTCAGGGCTGTAGCAGAAGCCAAACCAGGAAAATGCAGAGCAGGCATCACGGAGGGCTTTTGGAGGGAAGCAATCCTTGTCCTGCACTTTGAAGGAGGTACAATCTTTTAACAAATGGAAATGCAGGAAATGGCCAGTCAGGGGAGGAGAAGGAGAGTATTAACACAGGGCTGTGGCTCCATCACAGAAACTGGCCACTATTACCCCACAGGTCTACCTGCCTCTAACACCAGACAAAACCTGAATAGGAATGAGAGAAAGGACCCATCCTTCACCCAGCTCTCCAACGTGCCTGTGGAATCCCAGATGGAGGAGCTGACCACCAGGTGCGCCCCTCCCCCATCTTCCTGAGGGTGCAGTGACTTGGGGGAGCTGTCTCAGTGGGCAGAAGGATCATGTCCCTCCACCTTTGACTTCTGTTTGCTCAAAAGGTTGGTCCTGCAGGGTCCTGGGATCTAGGCCTGCAATTCAGTGACTGGCTATCAGGGGGCAGAGAGAGATAGAGACCAACCAGGAACCCAAAGTCCTAAGAGTTTTTTTAAGCATGGTTGCTTAACTCACGTTTCTCACTCAGTTAAACCTTTCAAGGTCAAATGCAGTGATGGGAAAGGAAGAAGGGCAATGCACTACATATTAGTACTCATCCTTGAGGCAGCCAACATTTTGGGGAGTTACCAGGTATCTGGCCCCAGGGCCCAGAGAGGAATCACACATGGTTTTTCCCCCAGGAGCCCCTGGGAGGAGGGGACAGATCAGAGAGAACCCTGAGCCTCAAAGGCAGCCATGCTGGCAGCCCCATTCCCAGGACCCTTTGACACATCATGCGCACACAGACGTATGCCAATGCAGGCCACGCTGAGCCCTTCCTTTGCGTCTTCCAGGCTGGCCATCCAGGTGGAGGAGAATGAAATGCTGAAGGCTGCCCTGGACAGTGCCCTGCGGGGAAAGGAGGAGGACTTTCGAATGTACCATGAAACCCTAGGTCAAGTGAAAGGGGTCTTCCTGCAGGCTCTGCGGCAGCAGAAGGTGGACAAGCATTAGGATGGTAGCCCAGTGTCAGCCTGGCCAGATGGGGCAGCCTCAGGCCCTGAGTGGACAAGGCTTTGCCTGAGGACTCTATTTTCTCCTGGAGTCAGCTTGGCCCTTCACCTGAAAGAGGCCCTCCAAGGTGAACAAAGCCAACATCTCAGGCCAGAAGGGCGAAGGAGCTGCCCTGGAGGAGGCCCTGGGCAGGTTAGGCTGCAGTGGGGAAGAAGACCAAGCAGCCCACTCAGCATCAGTGAGAACTCTGGATGAGCAGCCAGCTGTGCAGACAGATGCAGTCTCTCGAGCAGCTGCTCAGCACCCTGTCCTAGGGTCTAGCTGCATGCCCCCGCAGAGAGCCCTCAGTGCTCCCAGTTGGAAGCATCCTCCAGGGCACCCAGCCCCACCTGACCCCCTCACCAGGGCATCCCACACCCTGCTCCCCACGCCATGGCCCCATCAGCAGCCATCCCTCCCTCTGCAGATTTGGGGGCACCACGCTCCCAGCACTTCTCAGCCCACGCCTCAGGGCTCTTGCTTAGATGCAGACTCTCAGACTTGTAATAATAATGATGATTTTCATAGCTGCTGAGTGAGCGGGCATCTACTGTGAGTGGGCATCTACTGTGGAAACCTGGCCTCATCTACTCCTCTAGTAACACAGGGGATTGTCATCCTGTTTTACAGATGAAGAAACAGGCTCACAAAAGAAACTCTGGCCTGCCCTACTCCAAACCAGGGTCCTCTGTTGAACAGATTAGCCAGGACGGACTTGGCCACCCCTCTGTTGGGTGACTCTACCACCAGCCAGATGCTCCAAGAAGCCACCTCCATTTGCTTCCAAAAGGCAGCAGCTGGTGGGTGCTGGTGGTGGAGGGCAGAGGTGGGGCTGGGCAGGAGGACTTTGAAGCAGTGAGTTCAGGGGAAGGCGTGGTACACCTCCCTCACCTCAGCATGCAGGTGAGCTAGGAGGGCTGCTGCGAGAGAGCCCCCTGCCCTTTCTGTGACTGCCACAGTGCCACCCCCCACTGGACTGCAGTTACAGCCATGGGGAGAGGTAGCCCTAAGGCAGGTCACCCACAGCCGCACGCCCCAACCCCAGAGGACCTGACAGCATCTGTGCACACAGACCCACACAAATATCTGGACTCAGGAGTATGCCACCACACATGCACACACAGGTGCCCACAGAGAGCGCCAACACACACTCAGGCCCTGCCGTGAGGCATGGGTGCACACGAGCATGTGTACAGGTGTAGACTCAAATTCTCACACATGAAGACCAGTCATCTGTGCCTCTTATTGTTCATAAATGTGGGTGCACATACTGCGCAAATGCCCCTCCCCAGGAGAAACCACCTGGTACTCCTGGGACCCTGTCTGCTCAGGCCCTTCTCAGGGATAGGGCTGTGGAGGGACTCTGCTGGCCCCCCAGTCAGGAGCCCCTGAACCACATGGCATGGCACAGGCCTGAAGATCCTCTGGCAAGGTGCAGTGAAGGCCATCAGGATGAAGCGGTGATTCTGATGGGGTCCTAAGGATCCCTGAGAAGGAAGTTTTCCTTTGATCCTTGTGAGGGAAATAGCTAGGCAGAGCCAGAGGGAGTGAGAGGGCCTCCTCTGGGAGGAGATAGCATGTGACAGGAGTGGGCCGGACACAGTCGGAGCACCAGGCCAAGTCGTCAGCACCTTCTCCTGCAGGCACTAGGGAGGCCCGGAGGGTGATTCAGGTGCAGGGGCTGCAGGCTCTGGCCCTCAGCGGAGTCCCTGGGAGGGAGAGGCAGGCATAAGACCAGCCATCCTTTGCCAGGGATGAACAGAGGAGCAGGGGCTGACCTCAGGGAGCTGCAAGGTGGCAGAAGCCACATCCCGACCTCTCAAGGGCGGTTTTGCTGCCCTTCTTGGCTCCGTGCTGGGTCTGAGAAATAAAAGGGGATCAGGTCATGGGGTTTGACTGGGTGGGGGTGCCTGGGCAGCTCTCCTTCCCCAATCACCACCAGCTGTGTGGCCTTGGGCAAGTTACTTAACCTCCCCGAGCCTCCATGTCCTCATCTGTAAAATGGGGACAATGATGGAAACCTCCTTCAAGGGCTGGTATAGATGTCAAAGAATAGCTCAAAGACATTAAGCTACTTATTAGCTTGCTGTTTACTTCTGTACAAGGGACATACATCAATAGATTGATTTCATTCCACAAAGATAAAAACAGGATTTAAATGAGGGGGTGGAGGGAACTACAGTCAAGCAAGTAGGTCTTGTTTGCATATTTTTGGGTCAACTGATCAGCTGGCATCTTGCAGAGGTCGGTCTGGGCCTTCGGTCCTTGCTCAGGGAACTCGGGGTATAAAGGTAACTGTTCCAGTCTCCAGATTCCATAGCAACCTTGAGGGCTTTGCTGTGGAGCTGTGTGCTGGGACCCCTGTCATGTCTGCTGGCACCTGCCAACAACAGCCCCCTGCTTGGTGGGATCAGGGCTGCTCTCTCCCCCCATCAGAATCCCCCTCAGAAGTCAGTGAATTAAAAAGTGCCAAGTGCCAGAGCAGCGGCTGGCACACAGTGAGCACTCAGTAAATGCTGGCCTTTAGCATTGCCTCTGTTAGCTCCGCAGCCCATGTCAAGCAGCCCCACTGCCCCAGAAGTGGGCACGCTGAGCAAGGCAGACATGGCCCCTGAGCCCCAGGAAGCCCCAGGCCAGCTGGGCACAGACTCACCAGGCCCCATCCGCTCAACGGCCGGTGCCATCAGGCTGCTCGTGAGCGCTGACCACGCGCCAGCCTCCCCAGGCCTGCGAGGGGCCTGGAGGTGAATCTGACTGCTGCTGCTGTCAAGGAGCTCCAGTGCAGTCAGAGAAGCATGGGGAGAGCCGCGAAGGAGCTGGAGCAGGAAGGCGGAGGAGGGACACGGAAGGCACACCGCGCCTCAGAGGCACCCGCCCCCTCGGGGTGGCTCCCGGCCCATCGCCGCTCTGGGAGGGGAGGTCTGTCAGGTGGGGGTGGCGGGAAGGGAGGCTGAGGAGAGCCTGGGGACAGGATTCTGAGAGGACGGAGGGGTTGTCCATGGGACCAAAGACTGGGGCCCTACAGGATCTAAGCCAGGTGGGCCAGGGAGGGAGGCAGCCCGGTCTGTGCAGGCTAGTGCCTACAGCCCTGAGTGAGCAGCAGCACCTGAGGAGGATGGACTTCCCAGCTCTTAGGCAGGTGGGCAGCAGGTGGGCTGGACTGGCCTTTTACAGATGAGAATACCAATGTCCCTGACCGTCTCCAAGAGGTGGTAGCCAGTGGGGAACAGGTGCCTGGAGGGCAGGGGCAAGGACAAGCACAGAGGCTGGTGGTGGACGGGCTTCACATGAGGACTCTCCTAGCCACACCCCAGGCAGTGCACAGGTTCTAGCACTAACAGGTGAGACCTGGCTGAGCTATGGGCGTGGCTTGGCCACTGTCCCCACGGGCACTTCTGGACAAGGGTGCAGCCTGGCTCAGGCTGATCTGGACCCCAAACACATCCCATTGCCTGTAGGCCCTTCCCCTGCCCCCAGGAGCCAAGGCAGGGCAGCCTGCAGTGGAGGTTCTCTGGGCCCCCATGTCTACTGGCCCGAACCAGCTCCTCTTCCCCATCTCCTCCCCGAGTGAGCCCATGGCCACCCCCACAGGAAGTCTCTGCCTGCCCACCCCCTTTCCACAGGCACTGCCTCCACACACACCATCTCTCCTACAGTCCCTGTGCCTTGCAGATATGCACCAACACAATACACGCATCACACACATATAGATACAACAAATGTGCACACATAAATACATGCAACATACACATACAACATACACGTCATAAGCAACAAAACACATACACAGAACCCAGAGAACAAACACAAAATATATGCACACAGAATACTTTCCTTACATTTTTACTCAGAGCAACAACAATAAAAAAACAGGAGGGAAGGGCCACTGAGACTTGAAAGAATTGGCCCCCCTGCCTGCCATATCTTTCCCAGTGGCCCCTGTACCATTTGGGAAGCTGACCCCAGGCCCTTGGGCTGGCCTTGGCCCAGTCAGCTTCCTGCTCCTTCTCCTGTGGGCTGGCCACTCTGGGTTCCCTCCCCTCCTGCCGCCTCACAGACAGGGTAGAACTGGTGTCTGGGGCTGTCCAGCCTCAGTCCGAAGGGCCTTCCTAGCCACCCACCTGGCCCAACATCCCCACCTGCCAAGCTCCCTGCACACCCTGCTGCATGGGGTCACCCAGGACACAGCGCCTGCTGTTTGAGTCCTGCCTCCCCGGGCCTCTGGAGTGAGGCCTCTGTGGCTCTGGTTAGGATGATTAGTTAAGTCAGGTGATGGCTGAATCCCCCTAGGACCTCAGTGAGGTCAGGGCCAGCAGGATGCCCATTTACAAACAGGGATCTTAGGCTCCGAGCAGTGAATCACACCAGTGAGGTGGAGCTCAGGCTGTTTTCTTAATTGTGGTGCCACACCACCCTGTCTGCTTCCCTGAGCCATTTCATTCTCTTAGAGCCTCACTAGGGCACCAGTTGGATGGCCGGCCCAGGCTGGGCTCAGCCTGCATTCAGTGTGGGTGAGCTGGGTTCTTGTCCCAGGAGCTTATGAGGCTGACCCAGCTACTTAACCTCCTTGTGTATTAATTTCCTTTTCTTTCAACTGGGGATAATGGCAACAGCTTCCCTAGGGGCTCTGGTGACATTAAAAAGAGCTAATCCATGTCCAGCCACAGAACTTTGCCTGGCTACTGTGATTACCTTACTCCTGACAACCACTGACGCTACCTCAGGTGTTCCCCACCACCAGCCACATCCCAAAGTTCTCGCTGACCTCTGCAGGTCTGGCTCAGGCATCACCTCCCTGACCCTGCTCTTCCTCTAGAGCCCACAATCCCAACTGCAGCCCTCACCCAGCCCCCACATTGTAAAGTAATCTCAGTTTAAGCTGCTCAGGGGCAAAGACCAGTGACAAAAGCTTCTGTGTGACTCTGTGTGGAGTGTGTGCTGGGGTCTCCTTGCTTCTTCTTCCAGGCCAGTGGGTAGGGTCCCTCTACCCTTCCCAGACCTTGCTCAGGTTCTGGAAGTGCCCCAGCTGGGGATGCAAGGAGCAGCCCCTTCCTCCCCTATCCTCAGTTGAGCCTATGTCTGGGGTCAAGGGCTCAGAGGGGCTCCAGGACCTGCCCCTTATTACAGTCTCACAGCTCCTCCTACCCCCTAAACCCGAGGCCCTCCTCAGTGCACAGGCATGAGCAGGCCCCCACAGACATGACACAAATGCATACAGCTATCCTAGACTCTGAGGTCTTCATCCCAAAAGGGGACTATCAGAGCTTCCTGCCCTCTTGGTGGTGGGTGGGCTGGGTGGCTTTAGGGTACCTCTCCCCATCAGGGAGCCTGGGCTGAGGGTTTGGCTGTCCCTTTCGAGAGTGAGGGTCCTGTCCCCCCACTACCAGAAGAGTTCCAGTTGGCTGGGAACATTCCTGTCCACCTCCTTGTACCACCGGGAGGATGCCAGCTGCTCCAAGTGCCTACTCAAGTCTTGCCAAGTGGGCCTGCTAGCGTCCCCCACTGGGCAGCCCCCTGTGGGCAGAGCTGGGCTCTGGGGTCCCCTTCAGCCATGTCTCACGCCAGTTCCAACCCCTTGAGGCAAGTCAGTCTCCCCCAGGCTCTGACACTCAGCAAGCTAGAATGCTTGGCCTGGTGAAATGGACCAAGGCAGGGAGTTAGATGGGTCTGCCCCGGGACAGTCTTTGGAAGTTCACAGGTAAAGGTCTGGGCTGGATGTAAGGAGCCAAGTGTGTGCGTGTGTGTGAGCGTGTCCATTCAGTGAGGGAAATGGCTCACAAGAGTCCAGAGGGGCCCGTCTGGAAGGCTTCCTTGAGGAGGGGAGTGCTGGCCAGAATTGAAAGGGAAGCATAGGCTCTACTGGCCAGGGAAGGCAGGCTGAAGTGTGGCCTAGGTGTCCCCATCTGAGCCCATGCCACGAGCCACCCCTTCCCCCTACTCCCAGCCTCCCTGCGGCTCCCTGTGGCCAGCAGCTCTGCAGCACTCGGCTCTGCTCCACTCTGCTCAGCTTCACTCCAGGAAGGCCACCTCCTCCCTACCCTCCTCCTCCCCTTCCTCTCGCTGTCACCACTCACCGTGCACAGCCTCGAGGGGGTGGGGACCCCAGGGCTGGACACACCCCACCGTGGCCCCAGAGCCCAGCTGGTCAGACGGACGCACGATCGGATGCAAGACCTGGATCCCTGAGGTGGGCAGTGTGCCAGGGTCCCTCACAGCCTCCTCAAGGTCAGTGCCAGCCTGAGATGCAGCCATTCTGGGGTCCTTGAGACCTAAGGGCATTGTAGGAGCCCACCCCAGTCCCTTCATCCTAGACTTCAGGCTCCAAAGCAGGCTTTACTCCAGGTGTCCCTGAGTCAGGCAGGACTGAGGAGCAGGGGGCACCCCAGTGTCCACAGGCTGGCCCCGGTCTGGGGGTCTTTCTGGAGAGGTCCCTGGCTTGGGGCCAGCCCCGGCCTTCTTCGCAGAGGCCCCCCTGGAGACACCCTGCACCGGCCATGGGGAGCTAAAATTGGAAAGTGGCAAGTGGGAGGCAGCTGACAGAGCTGTTCCACAGGCTCTTGACGGTGCTCCGGTTTCACAGTCCTGCTCCATTAACCCGATCCTCAGGGCCTCCCCACCTGCACCGGACCAATGAAGAGGTGCCTCAGCCCTGGGGCCAGCAGCACAGAAACCAGGCCAGGCAGCCCCCTGGTATGGGCAGGAGCAGCAGAGCTCGTATCTGAGATGCCAGAGGGGTCACTGGGAACACTTGATCCTGTCCTAGGCCCACCATTTGACCTTGGCTGGTCCTCGCCCCTCTCAGTTCCTTGAATTCCTGAATCTTTGTACTCAGGAAAATACCAACTATGGGGAGACAGGAGAACTGGGTGCAGGGCTGGTGAAGATTTCGGGGAGGATCTGGGGTGGGAGACAGAGGCAATGCCAGCCCAAGAAGGTATCTAGACATGTTCTTCCCTTTAAGTCCTGAGTCTAATACCCATGGCACCCCTGGTAAGGCCCTGGTCAGGCTGGAGATGGACAGGAAGGACACAGGTACTAGCTGAGGCCCCGGGGGTGGTCCCGCAAGACTCCCGGAGACAGCCAGGCCCAGGCAGAGGGTGTTGGCAGGCTCACAGTGAGCCTGATACTGGTCAGAACCTGGGACAGCAGCCAGCACACTCCCTGGGGCCCGTTTGGCCCTGCCTGGCCCCACACTTGCTACCCCAGGGCACCTCCTCAAATAGCACTGCCTTCAGCCAGCATCCAGAATACCGAGAGCGCCGAGAGAGTGGGGTGGTGTGGCCGCAGCCACAGGCAGGGACCAGGGAGGCAGCAGGCTGGGGCTCCGGGTCTATTTCAGGCAATGCGTGTCAGAGAGACTGGAGGCTGAAAGAAAGGTATGGAGCCTTGGTGCTAGGGCCAGGACTGGGAGGGCCAGGACAGCTTGGGAAGCGTGCAGGAATCAGAGAAGGGGGCACTATGAAGTGGAGGAGCTGGGGGCGGCCTGCTGAGGCAGGGACCTGGGAGCCAGCAACCTGACTGAGGCAGGTGGGGTTTCCACATGAAAGTTAGCAGAGGCCTTTTCAGGAGCCCTTTGAACAGAGGCTGGGGACCAGTCCACCCAAAAGGTATGAAGGAGTGAAGAAGGTGAAGAAGGAGGGCTGAGAGTGAAAATTACACTTTCAAGAGCCTTCAGTGGGAAGGGTGGCAGCTAGAGCACCTGGGAAGGGGCACCAGATATTGGGGGGCCTGAGAAGAGTGGGATACAAGGATGGGGGAAGATGTGGAATGAGATCTCCAAGGAGGGGATTCTCTTCAGAGGGAAGGGGCAGTCCCTCTTCAGAATGGGAGGGACCCCACTACCTCAGTGGAGAACCATGGGTGAGGCTAGGCACAGCTTGGGAGGCAACAGAGCCCTCACCCAATCTGTCTCCCCAGCCCCATGCAGGCTATGGGCATCAAGACAGCACTGCCCGTGTTGGAGCTGGGTCTGTACTCACTGGTGCTGAGTGGCGCTCTGGCCTATGCTGCCTGGGGCCTCCTTGAGGCTTCACAAGGTAACAGTGGGCCCTGCGGCAGGGGCAGGGGGCCCTTCTTCCCCTGGGGACCTCAGCAACCAGAAAAGGAGAGGCTCTAGACCAAAGGTATTCCCTAAGACCCCAGGGGTTGGGCCGAGCCAGGTGTGGTCACAGGGAGTCACAGACTCAGAGACCTGGACATAGCCTCAGAGACATGCAGACACTCAGGGGTACATTAGCAAGACCTAGAGTGAAGTAGAGGCAGAAAAAGAGACTCAAACCAGTTCCCTCCCCATAGGGTGAGGGTCAGCCTTCTGCAGGGGCGGGCATGGGTGTGTGTGTGAAGGGCCCCCTCCCTGAGACCATGCTCTGTTCTCAGATGGGGCCCACAGGAAGGCCTTCAGGGAGTCTGTGCAACCGGGCTGGGAGTACATCGGCCGCAAGATGGTAGGTCCCCCACACCTCAGGGTCCCTGACTGCAGTGCTTGCCCCTGGCACACCTCTCCTTTCCCAAACCCTTCCCAACGCTCCCTGTCCTAGATGTTCCCACGTAACAGAAGGCCCACAGTGGGGAGGGTCTCTGGCTTGAGCTTCAACACCTTCAGTTTCTCCACTGGCCCCTCCGGTGTCCTTCTGGGACAATATCAAACCCGCCCCAGACCCTGCTCATTTCGAAAACAAACTGAGATATGCTTCAGGAGGGGCCTCCAACACCACGCTTCCCAGGAACAATGCCTTAATGGCAGGATGCCAGGGATAGTGCTAAGCCTAGGAGGAGCTTGGCGGGGCAGGGCAGTCCACATGGCTTCCTGTTCTCTCTACTTACCTACCTGGTCCTTCCCTTAGAGGGGCTGGCAGGGACTTCTAGCCACTGCTCTCCCCTGAGGCATAAAAGACCATGGGGTCTGGGAAGGCTGGAACTCTGACCAGCCAAAGTGCCAGTCCATTCTGCTCCACCTTAACCTACCCTTGGCCTGCCCAGGATGTGGCTGACTTCGAGTGGGTGATGTGGTTCACCTCCTTCCGCAACATCATTGTCTTTGCCCTCTCTGGACACGTGCTGTTTGCTAAACTCTGCACAATGGCTGCCCCCCAGGTGAGCAGGACCAGAATCACCCCAGCCTCCCCCTGCCAGCATCTCCTCAGATACAAGGGCTGTGGGGAAGCCATCATGGGGTCCCACTTCCATTTGGGTGGATAGGCACACAAAGCTTTCTCCTGTCCACAGCTCCGCTGCTGGATGTATGCTGTATACGGGGCCTTGACAGTGGTGGGCACAATGGGCCCTTGGTACCTGCTGCTGCTGCTTGGCCACTGTGTCAGCCTCTACATGGCCTCACTCTTGGGCCAGTCCTGGCTCTGTCTGGGCCTCGGCCTGGCTAGCCTTGCCTCCTTCAAGCTGGACCCGCTGATCTCCTGGCAGGTGTGCACTGGGGCGGGACAGGGTACAGGGATAGGTAGGTACCTCTCACCCAAAGCCCTTACCTCCCAAGTCTCCCCAAGCATTTCCTTACTTTCTACCTGTCTCCAAGCCTTTGATTATGGCGTATGACCTGCCATATTCCCACCACAGCAGCTCATCCCCTGCTCTAACCTAACATTAAACATGAATTGGTCAGTGGCCAGTGATGACTGGCTTTGGAGAAAGGAAGGGACAGGACCAGGCTGGGACCCCTTTTAGAAGCTGGGTGGGCTTCCCAGAGACAAGAGGCACCTGGTGAGCTGGTGGCCTGTTCTCTCCCCTCCAGAACGGGTTTGTAACAGGCACTTTTGATCTTCAAGAGGTGCTGTTTCACGGGGGCAGCAGCTTCACAGTGCTGCGTTGCACCAGCTTTGCACTGGAGAACTGTGCACACCCTGGCCGCCACTACTCCCTAGCTGACCTGCTCAAGTACAACTTCTACCTGCCTTTCTTCTTCTTCGGGCCCATCATGACCTTTGACCGCTTCCACGCCCAGGTGAGGGACACCCTGTGGGCCCTCTGAGCAGGCCTGGGTCTCCCTCTCCAGAGGGGCTCCCACCTCAGGACTCCCAGGGCAGGTGTGTCCCACCCTCAGGCCGACTCCAGGAGGAAACCATGGTGCCGTGCCCCCTCAGAACCCAGGGTGGGGCCACACTTTGGCTCCCAGACGGGGGTCGCCGGGTGGAGATGTGTCTGCACCCTCAGGCAGGGCTTGCCTCCCCCTCAGACCCTTCGCATCCCCAGGTGAGCCAGGGGCCGCCGGCGAGGCGCGAGGGCGAGCTGTGGCGCATCCAGGCCCAGGCGGGCCTCAGCGTTGTGGCCATCATGGCCGTGGACATCTTCTTCCACTTCTTCTACATCCTCACCATCCCCAGTGATCTCAAGTTCACCAGCCGCCTCCCGGACGGCGCCCTCGGTGGGTGGGCACCTGGTCCCGGGGAGGCGCTGGGGCGGGCCGCCGTCCCAGGACTGGCGCTGGGCCCGCACGGCGTCCCAGCTGGGGAGGCTGACACCCCAAGGAGGCACAGCACCTACCCAGGAGTGCGGGGGCGCGCGTTTATTCCTTGACACGCGTGGGTCTGGGAGTCAGCTCTGGCCTCGAGGCCAGAGAGGTACCGGCCAGGGCGCGCCCCGGTGCAGGCGGGCCTCCCGGGGGCGGGCCGGACCCCGCCCCGCCTCGCCTTTTCCCTCCCCCGGAAGGTGGGCGACGCGCCCCTGGGGAGGGGAGGGGCTCCCGGGCCGGGCCGGGCCGCCCAAGGACCTCCCCCAGCGCCAGGGAAGTTTCCCCGGCGGAGGGCTCGGCGCGCCCGGGCCCCAGGGGTTGCGGGTAGGGAGGCTGGCGCGACCCCCCTCTCAGGCAGTGACGACACTCTGCCCTCAGCCGGCCTAGCCTACTCAAACCTGGTGTACGACTGGGTGAAGGCGGCCGTCCTCTTCGGGGTCGTCAGCGCGGTGGCGCGCCTGGACCACTTGGACCCGCCCCAGCCCCCCAAGTGCATCACAGCGCTCTATGTCTTCGCGGAAACGTGAGTGCGAGGTCCCGGGCACACGTCTTCGGATCCCCACCTTCCCTCAGCCTCCGTCCCCGGGAGCGCCGCTCCTGGCTGATTTACACCCATCTGCTTTCCTTCCTCAGGCACTTTGACCGTGGCATCAATGACTGGCTTTGCAAGTGAGTTGGGGTGGGACAGAGGGATGGTCACAGCCATCCTGCCAGGTGTCTGAGCAGGGCAGTGCAGAGACTGGTCCACGTTTGAAAAGATCACCTCTGGGTCAGTGGAAGCAAGCAGTGCAATGAGGAGATTGTTGCAGAGGTCTAGGTGAAAGCCACAGCGGATTGGACGTGGGTGGGGACCCTGGACATGAGAGAAATGGTCAGACTAGAGATTCACAACAGACAGCCTGGACAGAAAGTGGCCATGGATTGGGGGTATCGAGGAGAGGGAGAAGACTCCAGATTCTCATCTGTAGCCTGGCAGAATGGAGAAGTTGTTTCCAGAGAGGGGTTCTGCCTGAGAAATGTGTGGCTGGAATCTGGGAGACATCACTGTGGAGGTCCAGGGAAGTGATTAGGTCTGAAGGCCTGGGGCTTGGAGAAGTTCACGGGACTGATGGATCTCTGAGCAATATCAGTGTGGGTGGGTGGTCTTTAGTTCTTGGGGGTGCGTACGTCCCAAGGAGAGGGTGCAGGGTAAGAAGAGGAAAAAAGTGACAGTGGTGTTGGCCTGGAAGGACTCTGGATGGGGGAGAAGAAGAGCCGGCAGAAGGGACTACAAAGGATTGGTCAGCGGAACAGGAGACCAGTCAAGAGTGCAGGACAGCCTGTAATCTAAGGGAAGACGATCAGGCATGGAGAGGGCAACTGGGTCTGCTGCTGCAGGGGGTCAAGGATGCTGGCGACAGCGTTAGTGTCAGTGGCATGGTGCTCAGCCACTCACCAGAGAGACAGGGCAGGTGCTATTCCAAGGAGACAGGCCCCACGGGAGCTCCTGTGTGGGCAGCTCCTAAAGGCAGCCTGGTAGTGAGGGGAAGGCAGAGAAGAGACTGAAGCAGAAGAGGGCATTTTAAAAAAGAAAACAGTGAGACCTACATGGGTGCTGAGGGGACTTGTTCAGCAGAGAGGGAGAAGATGGCGAGGCACGGGAGAGTGTGACTAGTGGCGTGAGGTCCCTGTGGAGGGAAGAGGAGATGGAGCCAGTCAGGCAGAGGCCTGGCTTCAGGACAGGGAAGAGGATGTAGAGGATGGCAGGTCAGTGGGGAAAGGTGAGGGGTTCCACCTGAAGGCTTCAGTTTTCTCCATGAAGCAAGAGGCAAGGTCCTCAGTTGAGAGATGCAGGGTTGGGGGCATCTGTATACCTCCCTCCTCCTGCCTACGTCTCTCACCGCACCCCTTCATGCTTACAGGAGATAAGGGTACAGGAGCCACTGCGGAGTGTGAGAGAACATGACTGCACAAGGCTTGGCATTGAGAGCCAGATGGGGTTGGAGATAGTGGATTCATGGACTGTACTATGTGAAGATGTGAGATTTTTCCCCATCAGAGCTAAGCTTCTTGGGTGCAGCTCAGGAGAAAGTGGGTGACTGGGTTCTCCCAGATGGAAGAAGTGACAAATAAGGTTTTTTGGGGGTGATTTATAATGACAATTCATTGAATAGAAGCCTGTAAGGAGGTGGTAAAGATAGGAGGAGAATCACAAAATGGGGTGGAGGATGTGGATGGGATTGAAGAACTGGAGCTGGGGGCCAGGTCAGGAGGGGCTGGGTGAGGAACGGTAAGTAGGAAGGAATGAAATTTCAAGTGGTGACAAAGGGCTGTGGTCATGGGATTGAGTGGCTGAGGTGGAGTGGAAAAGAAACCATTGGAAATGAGGCCAAGGAAACAGGCTGGTTACTCAATGTGTTGTCTACTGAATTTATTTCACAAATATTTATTGAGCACCTACTATGTGCCAGGCACTGTTCTAGGCACTGGGGATACAACAGTGAACATGGCAAAGACCCTGAACTCATGGAGCTTACAGTCTAGTAGGGAGAAACAGAACATAAACAGGTAAACACATAAATAAGATAATTTCAGAGAGTGGTAAGCATTATGAAAAAAAAAAAACGTGTAATGAGATACAACTTGGCCCAGGATAAAAGCTTCTTTAGTTGGGGTCTGTGAGATACCTGAACTGAGACTTGAGCGATAAGGAAATCTCGGGAAGAGAATTCCAGGTAGAGGGAACAAGTGCAAAGGGCATGAGTCAGGAAGCAGCTGTGTGTGTCTAAGCATGGTGAACAGAAGGGACAACAGTGGGTGATGAGGTCAGGGAAGCAGGCAGAAACCACATGACATGGCATCTTCTAGTCATGGTAGGAGGTCGAGTTTATTCTAATTGTAATGGAGCCACTGGGGGAGGCCTTGATCGTGGAAGTCATGGGACCTGAGTTACACTCTTAAAAGATGCCTCCAGCTGCTGTGTGGTGAACGGACAGTGGGGCAGGGGACACAAGATGCAGGCAAATGACTCAGGAGGCTCTTGTGATAATGTACATGAGAGGAGATGGGTGGAGAGAGGAATCGAGAGTCCAAGTTGGTGCCAAGGCTTTGGCCTGCACCTGAATGGGTGGTGGTGGCATTAACCACGATGGGGATGCATGGGTTTGGGTAGGCATGGGGGTCATTCAAGTGGGACGTCTGGTAACATTTGGGTAAACAAGTCAGGAGAGACACTGGGCAAAAGACACAGATTTGGGGCTCATCAGCGTGGAGACAATATTCGAAGTCTTGGGTCTAGATGAGATGGCTTGGAGAATGAATGAACATGGCTGGAGAAGATAGGAAGCTCAAGGTTGAGCTGAGCCCCGCATGTTTAGAAGCAGCAGCCACCTGAGGTCAGGAATGTTGAATGTGCCCAGGATGATAGGGTTGAGGACTGCCCCAGTTATGTCCTTTGCCCATCTCCTTCCTGCCCTTTCCAACTCTCCCGCTGGCCCCTTCTTCCATCCTTCCTGCAGGTATGTATATGACCACATCGGTGGGGAGCACTCCAAGGTGATCCCAGAGCTGGGGGCCACCGTGGCCACATTTGCCATCACCACTCTGTGGCTTGGGCCTTGTGATATTGTTTACCTATGGTCATTCCTTAACTGCTTTGGCCTCAACTTTGAGCTCTGGGTACAGAAGCTGGCAGAAATGGGGCCCCTATCCCAAATCGAGGTGAGTAGGGATGGTTCTGGGATCGAGTGACCAGGTCACGGGAGGTGGTGGCACTGCAGCTCTCCGAGGCCTCCCAGCCACTCGGCCCCTAGTGCTCACTCTCCCGGTGATGAGCACAGCAGCTCCTTCTGGGTGTCTGGTACTCCCTGCCTTCCATGGGGTGTGGGCACCTGGGCCTGCTGTGTTGGTCAGGCCCTGCCCTCTCTTGGGGTTCTGGTTTCCCCATCTTTAAGAATGAGGGAGAACTGACCTGGGGCTGTCAGAAACCCAGGCATATCCCCAGGACCTGGGTGGCCATGTGGGCAAGGCCCTGACCAGTTATGTCCTCTTTCCCCTGGGCCTCTTGCCCTACTGCCAATGCTTTCCTGGACCAAGCAGGCCTCTCTGTCAGAGCAGACATCCCGCAGGGTGCGGGCCCTCTTTGGAGCCATGAACTTCTGGGCCATCATCATGTACAACCTTGTCAGCCTGAACAGCCTTGAGTTCACAGAGCTGGTTGCCAGGCGCCTGCTACTCACAGGTGAGGGGTGGGGTTGGGGGTGGATACAGAAAGTGCCAAGCACCAACCTCAGGGCCTGTGGGCTTCGGAAATGCAGCCCCCAACACCTCAACACCCCAGGGACTCATCAGGGGAGCAAGACAGGTGGGGAAGGAAGTTGCTGAGGAGGGGTGCTGCTCCCAGGCATCAAGGACCTCTTCCCTGCACAGGGTTCCCCCAGACCACACTGGCCGTCCTGTTTGTTACCTACTGTGGCATCCAGCTGATCAAGGAGCGAGAGCGAACCCTGGCACTGGAGGAGGAGAAGCGGGACAAAGAGAAGCTGGAGTAGGCGGGTGGGGGAGAGGGATGGGCTCTGCCTTGCTGTTTGGGCGCCCCAGCCACGCTGGCCACACAGGGCCCGGCCAGTTAGAATAAAGATTTTCTACCAGGTTGGCTGTTCCCTGCCTCTCACCCCACAAGTCCCCTGGCTCCTTCTTCAGGCTAGATGAAGAGCCGGAGGTCCTGGGCCGCAGGGAGGGGTCAAGGCCTTGGTGAGCACGGACTGCGGAGGAGACCCCTAGGTGGAAGGCAGGGACCACCGGCCTGGGCCACCCAGTGGCTGAACACTGAAGCCCCAGATTTTCAACTACCTGGTTACATGTGCTTGGAGCTCCAGGCCCCAGACCCTGAGCTGCCTGCTCAGAAGGCACTTCATTCTTCTTAAGGAGGGAGACCTATCCGTGCTTGACGGGAGCACCCCCCACGGGACAGGCGAGGAGGCGTGAGTCCTGTGGGGAGATATGCTGGTGGCGCAGGCAGGCTGGGGCTGAGGTCCTGGCTCTGGGCCCAAGACCAGGTATATGGGAACAGCGGAGAGGCCTGAGGTTCTCGTACCTGCCTGAAAGGCTAGGATGCACAGCGACTTCCCTTCCCCCTGAAGCAGCCCCTTGGGCCCCAGGACAGGATCCAGGTGGGCTCTGGCCTCTTCCAGGAGGCCCCAGGATGGGAGGGGCGCTCTGGGTTAGTCACATCTTGGTCAGGCGCAGCACGTTGAGCCGCACAGGTAGGAAGGTGGCACCAGCAGCATAGGCGATCTCCCGCAGGATACCCTCCCATTTCTTCTCCTCCTCATTAACTCTGGGGGTGGGAGGGAGTGGGACAGGGCCAAGGAGCTTGGTCAGCAGAGCCCCAAGGGGACCCAGCAGGGCAGGGTGGCTGAGTACACCAGGCCCCGCCCAGGGAGTGCCCCCTAGCCCCAGCCCCATCTCCAGGACGGTCTGCACCTCCCCCATGCCCTCCTCCTGAGAATTTCCATCTGCAGCACCCCAGGAAGTCCTCCCGGAGCCGCACTCCCAGCAGCACTGCCCTCTGAGACTGCAGTGGTGGGTAACTGCAGCTGAAGGTGCCCCGGTGGGCAGAATCTCCTCCCTGCATGCTCAGGAAGGGGCAGCCATGGAAAGCAGTGGCTCTGAGAAGCTGGGCTCCACCAGCTTTGCAATCCTGGCCTCAGCTCTCCCCTCCAGAGCAAGCGTCCAGGAGGGAGGAGGGCAGAGGAGAGGCCTGGCTGCCTTTTCAGGGGCCCTCTACACTCAGGGGTGTGTCCATGGGCCCAGCCCTAGCCTTGGGACCAGCTCCCAGCTGTGACACTGTTGATGCTCCCGACTTTCCCAGCCCGAGTAGAGAGAACCTGGGCCGAGCAGCCATGTCTGCTGTCCCTTGTCCACAGGGCTCCTTGGAAGAGGTCTTGGCTCGGCCCCCAAATGAGCTTGCCAGATGCCTGAAGGTGCTCAGCCACAGTGCTGTGGGGCGTCAGCCTTGCTCCTGATTCCCCCTCACCTCCCTGGGACCGGGCTCACCTCCAGATGTCGTTGAGCTCTGTGGGGACCAGCTCCCCTGACTCAGTCTCCAGCGTGGCAAAGCCACCGATGGCATAGAGGGTGCCCGCCAGACTGACCAGGCTGAGTGAGCTGCGCTCCTGCGGGAAGGCCTCAAAGGGCGCCCACCTGATGGGGAGGAGCAGGCGTGAGAAGGTGCACCTCCTGGGGGCCTCAGCAAGCCCAGAAGTGAGCCCGCCAAGCGTCCCCGGCTCCCACTGTACCCCTTGGAGCCCGAATCCCAGGCACCCATGCTCCCAGTACAGCCTTCTGTTCCCTGATCCTCAGGAAGGCCCTGGTCTTCACTTCATCCCCATTCTCTTGCCCTTCCTATTTTCCGTCATTGTCTCCTTGTCATTCCACCCAACCTGTCCTGTGAAATCCATCATTCATCTCCCCTGCACCCTCCGTGGCTCCAGAACAAACTCCAATTGCTACCTCCTGGCCACTGAGCCCGTGCCCTAGCACCCTGCCCCATCCCTCTTCTCCCCTCACAGCCCACTTATTCTCAAGGTGTTTCACTCCCTTCCCCTGGCTTCTGAAGTTGGGCTTCATCCCCAGCCTCCAAAACTGCTCTCAAGTCCCCAACCACGACACGGCTTTGAAGTTCGGGGCCCACAGCACACACTGCTGACAGGACTTCCTTCCCCTCCCCCTCTGAGGCCTCCTTCCTGGATAACACATCAGCCCCCACCATTCCTCAGGGCTTAGGCCTCAGCCTCTCCCACTTAAAACCTCTCTCCCAAGGGAGCTTGTGCCCTCTGTTGACCCCAGATCTCTGCCTTCAGCTCAGCCTTCCTTCTGCCCAGGCGGGCCCCTCCCAGGCATCCCCAGCTACCTCAAATCCACATGTCCTAATGGACGCTCACTTTTCCTGCCCAACTCCAATGATTCTCCAGTAAGTGACCTCCCACCCTCACTCGAAAGCATCCACTTCTCCCTCTCACCCCAACATCTGATCAATCATGAAATTCTCTCTTCTATCCTGAACTCTCGCTACTCACAGTGTGATCTACAGATCAGCAAGCACCAAGCAGCTCCTGGGGATTTGTTAGAACTGTACTCTCAGCTCCGCCTGGGCCTAAGAATTAGGATTTGCACTTTAACATGATCTGCAGGAGGTCCGTGTGCACATTACAGTGGGAGAAGCCCTGGACTAAGTCTTTCTCCAGTGTACCCCTCTGCCCCATTCCCACTGCACCCCCACTGCATGTCATCACCTCTTGCTATTCAGATGCACCCAGCCTCCTGAGAAGTCCCTGATCTGTTCTCTATATCGGCTGCCATGAGGCTTCTTAGTAAGACACAGATGTGAGCTTAAAACCCCTGGGAGGCATTTCACTGCCCTCTGGACAAAGTCCCTCAGCCCTGCCCCTGTCTTTCCAGCCCCAGCTACCCCTACCCCATGTCCCCTCACACACCCACTCTGTCTGATCTGAGCAACAGCCTCTCCTGCAAGGGAACTGCCCTTTTCCTCCCAACTGCCTTGGCGCCACCTTGGCAGACTTCTCCCACCACCCCTTTTGCTGGCTGAGTCCAATTGGCCCACCAGCTCAGTTTTCTTCCTGACCTCCCAGGGCAGGGCAGCTTCTGTCTCAGTCACCACTGTGTCCCCGGCACCAGGCCAGTGCCTGGTATGAGTCTCTAAGGAACCGGGCATCTCCTACCCTGCTCCTGGGAGCTCTCTCCTGCCCACCAGGCTGGCCATACCCCTTGCCCCACCTTGTGGAGGAAGCCCACATCACTGCTGGTCAGAGGAGAGGGGCTATTTCTGTGCTGATGGCCAAGCTTAATAGCAGACACCCAAGACAGGGGCTACAGTTCCTGCCAGGATAGACCAGAGAGGGCTGACACAGGCCCAAAGCCACACAGCCAGGAGGTTACACAGAGCCTGTCCCTGGCTGTCTGCCGGGGAAAGGGTTTGGGGAGTGCCCTGGGGATGGAGCAGCCGTACTTGTTGTCTGTGATGCTGTAAACCTCTGCTGAACTGGTCAGCCCTGTGTCTGTGACCCCAGCAGCCACAAAAATGCGGCCATCATGGATGGTGGCCCCAAAGAGTGAGCGGGCAGTCTGCATGGGCGCCAGCTCCTTCCACTCGAACTTCTTGGGGTCATAGACGCACATCTTGTTCAGGCACTTCCTGGGGGGTGGGGCACAGTGAATGAGAGGAAGGAATCTGGAGCTGACCCGCTGCTCCGTGCTCCCTCAGCCCGGCCGCTACAGGTGCCCCCCAAGACAGCCAGGAGAAACCCAGGCATCCCTGCAGAGCCCCCTCCACTGGAACATACTGCAGTCACTGCCCGCCCTAGCCTCACCTGTCACTGCCTTTGCCACCAACGACGTACACAAGGTCCATATGGGAGAGCACCGCATGGCCGTACACAGCATAAGGCAGTGGGTCTGATTCGCCCCATTTGAAGGACCTGGAGGGGAAGGGAGTAAGGTGAGCAACAGGCTTCAGGTGCATGCTCAGTCCCTCTCTGCAGTCAGCCACCCATCCAACACATCTTCAGGGTGCACCTGATACATTCCTGGAACTCCCCAGATGTCTCAATACCTAGATCCCATCCCACTTGCCAACCACCAGCCCCTACCCAACCCTGCCTGGCCTGGGCCTCCCACTGCCCCCACCGCCCTGGACCAACACCAGGCCTCCAGGCTCCCGCCCGGCCCGGTCCCCGCCCATGCTCACAGCCTGTCATAGCACAGGACTGAGTCCAGGCTGCGCTCTCCATTCTTGAGCTCTCGGCCGCCGACCACGTAGATGGAGTTGAGAGCCTCTCCCAGGCCGAAGAGGCAGCGTGGTGAGGGCAGCGGTGGCATCCCCAGCCACTCTGAGTCCAGGTGGTCGAACTGCAGGCCAGGAGTCCAATCAGCTATGCCCCCAGCCCCCATGCCCTGAGCCCAGCTCCCACCCTGGTCACAGAGGGGTCCAGGCCTCCAGGTAGGGCCACAGCTTGGAGGCCGTTTCTGCAGACAGAGCCCCTCCTCCTATCAGGCTATGAACAGCAGAGGCCTCCCCTGGAGGTAGGTGCCACCATTACAGCACCGTGACGGGGCGTCCTGGGCAGGGCTGCCTGGAGCCTGTGACAGGGAGGTACGGCTGAGGCTCTGTCCCTTCCCCAGTACAACTCCGAACTGACTGCTTCCTGCCTGTTTTCCACCCCATCTCACTGCACAGGAAACTTCCAAATTCAGCTCTGTCACCACCCTTTAAAATCTTAAGTCTGTGACCCTTCTACCCTGACAGTCTTATAATAGCCATACTAGTAGCTCATCGTTTTGGAAAGTTTTCTCAAGGTGGAGCATTATGCTGGTGAATACTTTATAACCACCATTTACC